TTTTTTTTTTTAGCAGCACAATTTGAGCTCCGTGTGGTGGTGCATACCTATAATCCTAGCCCTCAAGGAGGCTGAGGCAGGAGGATCTCAGATTTGAGCATGGCTTGGGCAGTTTAGTGACTTCATGAGACGCTGTCTCACAAAGTAGCAAGTGCTGCGGTCAGAGTACAGCGCTAAGGCTCTGGGTTCTGACCTAGGTAGTGAAAGAAAAAAGTGCAATTTTAAAACTGTGATTTTTCTTGTGTTGTTTCTACCTCTTCATCTTTTTATCCTACCCCATTATAAAATTTTCCTGGAAGACTGGAGAGATAGCTTGGTGATCTAAGTGCCTGCCTGGCAAGCTCAAGGTCCCGAGTTCAATCACTGGCACTGCATGCCATGCTGCCCCAGAACTGGGAGTGGGGGAGCACACCTGTAATCCTGGTGCTAGGGAGGCTGAGGCAGGAGAATCACTGAGTCCATGCTGTGTGGTAGATCTTATGCCAAACACATAATAAGTAAATAAAATAAATAAAATTTCCTGGAATAAAGGGTGGTGGGATTTAAAAGGAGACCCAATTCCATGCTGTGTGGAGGCAGCCGGTCACTCTGTGGTCACTCACATCGCAAGCGACTCCACAGTGCATCTGCCCTGCTTCCCTTTCTTTTTTCTTTCTGGTACTGGAGAGGAACCCAGCACCAGCACCCTCACAGTGAGCTGTATTGCCAACCCTTTCTTCATTTTTTAAACTTTTGAGACAGGGTCTTGCTTAGTTGTCCAGGCTAGACTTGAAACTTGGGGTTCTCATCCTGCTTGGTCTCCCAGAGTGTTGGGACCCAGCCGCGCTGCTGTTGTGGCCAGCTCCCAGACTGAACAGCTGGTGCGGGCAGTGGGGTCCTTATTATTATTGACAGCGAAGTAGGCAGAAATGTCACAGGCCATCATGTCAGGAGGGCCGGGCCCTCGAGGGAGCTGGTACAGAGGATGAGAGCGCATCGCAGCTTGCCCAGCAGTGGCAGCAGTCGGGTGCGTTTCCCACAGGACACTGCTCAGAGGAGGGCAGGAAGACTGCAAGAGCTGAGGAGGGGGTGGGGGTGGGCAGGGTCCTCTGCTCGCTGGCCGCGGCAACTCCCTCCCGCAGTGGCCCTGGAGGGTTAGACAGCCTGCCTGGTGCTGCAGGGGTCAGAAGCGCTGAGGCCTGAGGGTCTGCGGTGGTCGGCAGCCAGGGTTCAGGAAGAGCCCATCGTCCTCGGAGCTCTCGAGGTGCTTTGGCAGGATGCGGGGCTGGGACAGGGTCAGAAGGACCTCTCAAGGAGGGCTGGGCCGGAAGCACACCCACATGAGAGGACACGGGGAGAAGGCACAGGCTTCCTCGCAGGCTGCACCTGGAAGCCCTTGGCTCACCCACACAGTAACCAAGGCCCAGGCACGGGATGCACCTGAGAGGGGGCCACGTGGTGCACAGTCCCGGGGAGGCTGTGTGTGGGAACAGGAGGATCAGGGCTTTAAGCCCCAACCCAGCTGCCGCCTGCCTGGGGTGCCACCCCCGCAGCCCCTCCCTCAGGTGAGGTCCTGAGTTCATTTTGTCACCACCAGATGTTCCAGTTGTCATAGAAAATGTAATAGCGTTTCTAATCTGGCATTTTCCTAGTGGGACTTCTGGGCTCAGCCTTGACTGCTGAGGTGGTGTGGCCCAAGTCGGCCTGGCCGCACCCCATGGCATCACAGGCTGCGGGCTACATTCATGCTCCCTCTACCCTGGAAAGCCTAACCCAGTCAAGGACATGATGGACGGCCCTTGCTCTCAGCCCCCGACTTTCCGACCACGTGGCAAATGACATCCTCTAACTCAAACTGCCCGGAAGGAACCTGCCTAACAACGTCCAGCCAAACACACATAACTAAGTACAGAACAACTTGCTGTTGCTGCGGAATTCAGGACCAGACCAAGCCTGAGATGGGGCACCAGGAAGGCAGCTTGCTACATGAGTAGGCCCGCAGAGTCTCTGCCAAATGCCGGTCTTACCCAGGTTTCAGAAGGAAGTAGGAAAAGGCAGAGGCAGATAGCATCTGTAGTTGGTTACACCTGTCTTTGTCACCGGTTGTTGGAAAGAATTTGCTCTTACAGGAACTAGTAAGTTACTGCCCTACTACCTGGGGGAAGAATCAGTCATTGTCAGAGCTGGCCTTGAGGCACCAACGCGGACTTGCAGGTGAGCAAAGCGGCACTGTCTGGCTGAATTGCTCCTACCTTGCGGTTGGCTTGGGGTGGCAGGCAGGGCTACTTAGGTTTTATGCTAATTATGACAACCTACCATGCTCCCCAGCCTCATCCTTAATCTAATATGCGAGGGGTAGGCTACCAGATAGCTCAGCTGATCAAAGTGCCTGCTTTGGGAGATGCAGGGACCGGGTTCGATCTCTGGTGTGCTGTGCTGGCCCTGGCCCAGGGTGTGCTGAGACGGCAATTGAGACTGGGCATGGCGCTGCGCACCTGTAATCCCAGCGCTTGGAAGGCTGAAAACAGGAGGGTCATCACTAGGAGTCCAATCTATGCAGTGGGACCCTGTAGAGCCTGCACTAAGTAAATAGGGCCAGTGAGACGACTAGTGGTCTAAAGTGCTTTCTTAGGCAAACACTCAGGGACCACAGTTTGATCCCCAGCACCATATGTGGTGCCAGAGCCGGCCAAAGGGGGAAAAAAAAGAAAAGAAAAGAGAAGAAAAGAGGGCCATAGAGATGGCTCAGTGGAATAAGTGCTTGCTCAATAGAATAAGCACTTGCCTGGCAAGCACAAGGGCTTTAGTTCAATCCCTGGTTCAGCCAAAAAGAAAAAAAGAAAAAAAAAGAAAAGGGCCAGCCAGACAGCTCAGCGGATTAAAGTGCCTGTTTAGCGCAGTGGCCTGGGTGTGCCATGCTGGAGTGCCATGCTGGAGTGCCATGCTGGCCCTGCCCT